GAATGGCTCTCATAAAATGTAAAATAAGAGTTCGATTAACTTTAAATTTCGCACAAATCATTATTTCCGCTGGTATGAAGAACGGATAGAACGGACCACTCCTTCAAGTACCAAATTTGGAATAACAAGTAAATAAATATCAGTCGGCTTTGCCGACAGATCTATACCCTCAGCCATATAAATATTGCGACGTGACAGGTTTAGAATATATTGTTTGGAATACATAAAATGTTCGTGAGGTACCAGATATTGTTGACCGAAGTATTCAATTCTCATACCTCATCTAATACTGATAAAAATATTGGTAGAGCAAAATTACAGGAAAACCGAACATTTATATCCAATTTCATACGAACTCCTAAATTCCATATTCGTCTCAGGTTTCTGGTTGAGAGAAATATTATGATATAGCAAGTCAATGAACTTGTTTCGCAAGTTATGACAGAAAATTAAAAATTGTGACCCTTTGTGGGTGAGGTACCAGAGTGGGCCGATATATTTCATCTTCACACAAGACCTTGGGTTAATAAAAATATTGTGATGTGTGTAATTTTAAGACAATCAGATTCTTACATCACATTTTATACGAGTTATAACTATTCAAAATTTTGACCCTTTGTGGGGGAGGTACCAGAAGAAATGGTCCGATCTCTATCATTTTCATAACAGATCTTTTATCAATAATAATATTGAGATATGGAAAGTTTGAATGGAATGGGATATTAATTTCGCGATTTATTAGCTTCATGGATATTCAAAATTTTGACACTTTGTGGGAAGGTACCTGAAGGAGTGGAACGATATATTCCATCTTCTCTGCACATGTTGCGTTAATAGAAATATTGGGATGTGTGAAGTATGCAGAGAACCGGATGCTTAATTCGGATTTTATAATCGTTTTGATTATTTAAAACTTGCACCCTTTGTGGAGGAGGTACCAAAAGGAATGATCCGATCTCTACCATATTTAGAACAGATCAAGTGTTGATAGAAGTGTTGAAATGTGCCAAGGCTGAAAGGAATCGAATATTAATTTCGCGTTATATAAGATTCATGGATATTCAAAATTTTTAAACTTTGTGAGGGAGGTACCAGATGGAGTGGGCCGATATATGCCACTTTACACAAGACCTTGGGTTATTAAAAATATTGTGATGTGTGTAATTTTAAGACAATCAGACTTTTATATCACACTAGCTGGCCCGGTCCGCGTTGCCGGCCTGTAGTTTTTGTCTATTTGGCATATTTGTCAAAGTATAATTATTCACAGATATGACTGATATCTGTTCACGTACTGGTCGATTAAAAGTGTTTTAAAATACCTATACCTATATTTAAGCCGTGGACTTGAGGGGGTACTATTACATGGAGAAAATTCTAAAATTTGTAGATATGTTGCAATTTTTGTGTAAGATTCCACCCAAATATACATTTTTAGCCAAATCTTTTGAAATATGGTAAAATCAGGAGGTACCTTTACATGGGCACTACTCCGAAATATCGACCTACATTGAAAACTTTCTTCTACCGCTTATAATCCAATATGACAAACAGAGACCAAATCAAAAATATAGCAATTTTACACCCATGGGAATTAATTTCATTTGCCATTTAAATTGTAAGTTGGTTGTAAATTGTAAGTTGTAAGTCCATATTTTTATCATAGTATAATTCAACGACGATTCAACAAATATTCTGTCCCGTGCTACTTTCTTATATTTGTAATTTGTCCATGTTTTCATAATTTATTTCATATAGATGTGCATCCCAAATCTATGTTCTCAACCAATATTCTCTTGGGGGTTACAAATTCAATAGAATACAACATTTTCTTTTCTGAACACACATTAGATGTGAAAGTGGACTTGGGGATACTCCAATGTGGGGGCTTTACTTAAATAAATTCCTAGGTGACAATTATCTGTATGATGGTTCCATACACCAGGATAGCGTATATACAATTTTTTAGCCAAATCAATTGATAAATGTGGTCAAGACCAATATGGGCCCTACTCTGGAAATTTCAAATTTTGCCAAATAAGGCCAAAAATGAAAAAAGTGGGCATGACCCCAAAAATAGCTTAAATCATACGATGGATATATAAATATGAAATCGGTTTGTACCCTTATCCGTGAGTTATGATCGATATCATGACCTGCAAAAGCGATTTAAGTTATCTTGAATATTTGGGAAGAATTTCTGGAAGGATAGAAATCATTATTTTGTTCACAAAAAATCCACTGAATTCAATATGATAATACAAATTGAAAAAAATTGACAAAAGAAGAATAACAAATTGAAAAAATTTTCAACTTGTTTTCTGATTTTTTACAGCAAATATTTAAAGATCCTCCTTAAGTTTGTCAATAGAATGTACTATTATTTTAAAATTCGATTCCATAGAAATTTTTTTTCGATTTGTTCCCGATTTGAGAGTTTTTGCAATAAGATCTCTTTTTCTTGATTTTTTAGCGATTTTGAAAAATAATTTATCTTTTAACTTTGGCGTGACCGCGTTAAATTATTTCGATATCGTCTATTCCGTTACGCCACCACATAATTCGGTACTACACTTCCATGTAACCCGCCATCTATTTCAGTTCTCAAGAAATCAAGTCAATTAAATAAATTGGTATTAATATTCGAATTCAAAAATAAAATATAAAAAAACACTACAAATGTACATTAGAAAAAAGTAAGTCAAAATGGAAAAAATCATGCAAAATAAAACATTACTATTGTACATTTCAAAAGTCAAAATGAAAATGTTAATGTATCACATTTTTACGCGATTTTTTTGTATATTATCCTTTTCGGACAGGAGACAATTCCGAATTTGTATGAATCGTTAGAATCAGTCCAGCGGTTCTTAAGTTATAAGCGTAGTAACTAACACAACTTTCTTTTATATATATAGATTTTATACGAGTTATAACTATTCTAAATTTTGACCCTTTGTGGGGGAGGTACCAGAAGAAATGGTCCCATCTCTACCATCTTTATAATAGATCTTGTGTTTATAGAAATATGAAGATGTGCCAAGTGTGAATGAAATCGGATGTTAATTTCGCGTTTTATGAGCTTTATGGATATTCAATTTTGACCTTTTGTGGGAGTGGTACCAGAATTAGTGAACCGATATTATCTATCTTCACACAAGACCTTGGGTTAATAAAAATATTGTGGTGTATGATTTTATACGAGTTATAAATATTCAAAATTTTGATCCTTTCTGGGGGAGGTACTTGATGCGTTTGACCAATATTGTCCACTTTCGCACCTGACGTAGAACTGAGTTGAAAAGTTGAAGCAAAATCGGAGTATTCTTTCTCTTTCTGTACAGTAAAATATTTTTCTTTGAAAATTTCGACCTTTTGTGGGGGAGGTACCAGAAGGAGTGAATTGATATTGCCCATCTCCGAACTCGATCTATCTCGATGTACCATGTTTGGACCAAATCGGATACTCCCTTCGAATGTTATCGTGCGCTCCAGCCAGACAGACGGACGGACGGACATAGCTAGATCGACTCCAAATATCCTGAAACGGATTTGGCCTAAAGTGACCTAGGGTCTAAAACCATTATTTCGGCTAGGCACGTTTTGGTATACCCTCTCTAGCCATGTGGCTGAGGGTATAATAACCGAACATTAGCTGGGGCTTTGCATGTGTCGGTACCACCGACTGATTCTATTTAATTATTGTTCTGATTGAATTAAAATTCGACCTACCAAAATTATTCAAAAACCGGCCCACATATTGACAAATGCACCACATCTGACAGAATGAGCGGCCACAATTTCATATTTTGAAATATTTATTTTTGTTGTAACGGCATCCCCTATAATTCGCGTCCTGAAGGCCCTAATCACGTTCTCAATTGTATTAATATGTGTGGGTTCCTTACCGAAAGAAAATTATCTAGCAATAGTAAGTATTTACAAAGGAGGTGAGCACAAAATGTTCGTCTCGGTTGAATTTACCGCACCGACTTAGGCTACAAACACTGTGTCTTTAGACAAAACGAAAAAAAAACGGACTTTCAAAATTGTCTCATTTCAGTTCAAAGCTTTTATTCTGTAAATTGCCTTTTATGAGCGATGTCAAAATTCATGATGATGACAGATGACTAAAGGTGACAATGTTCCGTCAGGCAAACTAATAAATGAAGACAAAAGACAGCGGCACAGCCTAAAAATACTAAAAATAAATTAAACTATAAAATAAAACGCTACACTTGTTGCACAAAATGTGAATTGTTCCACAGACCAAACACGGCGACTGTGGACAAAGTTCTCAAATCAAAAAACATCAAATCGGCCGGTGAACAGAATGGTCAAGGTTTTGCCAAGTCAAGCGATAATTTACCAAAAACCAAATACGTGTGTTTTATTGTTGTAATTGTAGTTAGTCAAAATATGCGTACAATTGTAAAAACATTAATTTATAATAATAATTCAAGCACAAAGAATTAAAATAGCAACCACAACAACAATTGAAGTAAATTGCTCGAAAATGATATAATAAAAAAATTAACTCTTTTCAAATGTAATGCTCCAAAAATGCAAATAATATCTGTAATCAAATCAAATTACAAACAAATATTCGAGCATAGAAGTTAGATTTGTGAAAAAAAACTATTTCAGAAACCAGTATTGAAAACAATATAAAATTCCATGGAAACCACAGCTCACATAGACTACCCATTTGCATCTCTTTTACTCTTTTTTAAATGGCGAACTAGTATTCAAGTCATAATTAATTATGGTCATTAAAATGATGTTTCGATATATTTTTGGGGGATTTCAAAGAATTTGTCGAACCTGCGTTTTTCCTAATAAAAACAAAATTAGGTTAGATTGAATGAAAAGGCTTTAAATTTGCTGGTGATGAATTTGATGACAACCTTGGATATATTTAATATCAAATTACAGTTTGATGGCTAACCAGTAAAGAAAATCCTTAAGTCGGGCGGTGCCGACTTTATGATACCCTACACTGAGGGAAAAATCCCGTTGCGAAATCAAGCACGTATGTTGTCATTTTCGCAACGACCCGTTGTTATATTTTTCAACAACGGCTGTTGGTGAATTGTGCACGAACGTGCTCAAATTGACACCGAGACGTGGTCAACTTTCGGTACCAACAACAGCCGTGCTTAATTTGTCCATTTGTAATATTGGTAATTGCAGCCGATTACACACGAGTAAAAAATGACAACGGTGGTGCATGATTCACACACGGTCGTTGTCAATATGACACCGGTCGTGTATGAATTATGCACCACCACCTGCATAATGATGCACCACCGTTGTTACTTTGTACACCGACGTGCATGAATCGTACACGATCGTTGCCATTTTAGCAACTACCGTGTATGAATCATGCACCACCGTTGTCATTTTTTTTACTCGTGTGCAATCGGCTGCATATTTACCATTTTTTCCGTGTTATTGAAAGAGAAAGGACGCATTGTGCAAAAAATTTATTGAAAATGAATAATAATTCGCAAGATCCTCAAAATATCATTGGTGAGTTGTTAGAAATCGATGGCAATATTGTTGTGGTTCGCGATACAAACCATTGCAGCAGTCAAGATGCGGAAAACAATGAGGACGATTATATGTTAAGGGAGTTCTTAAAAGGAATAAATATGGAGTCGCTTTTTGAACAATTAAAAGGTAAGTAAATAAAAATGAATTTTTCAGTTAATCAGTGTAATTAACAAAGAATTTTCTTTTTTGTTCTTTTAGCATCACATGTAACATTTCGCAGCTTGCAGTACTTGAAAAAAGAAGATTTAAAGGAAGCAGTGCCACCATTGGGACTGCGTGTTGAATTCAGAGAAAAGCTCTTTGCTTGGAAAAAACGAAAGGTACGTATTATTTGTTTTACAGAGTTGAACTCAGTATTAATATTGTCATAACAATAGCTCGGGATTGATGACGAAACTATGTCAGTTCCATCTAAAATAGGTGAATGGTGGAAACGCAACGAGACACCTGCAAGTACTCCTGGTACTCCCGACACTACAGGTTCGAACTGCTCAAAAGCCAAAGGAATTTTGTCAGAGGTAAGGTAAGAGTAATATTTGTGTAAGCATAGTTAATGTAGTTTTTTTATTTAATATAGGATCTAACGGAATTGTTAACACATACCTCGAAGGGGAAACTAGCGCTTGAATGTAGTAGCGTTAATAAGAAATTAAGTGACGAGCAAAGAGATGATATAATTAATATAATTATTGAAGATATTTTAACCAACAATGTTACTCTTTACACTCAAGACTATATGCGCATATTGGATGAAATTTGTTCCGTTTTTCCTCTTGAAAACGAAATGAGGGTAAGATTAACAATATAAACAACGTATCTGATTATGTAGTTTCTTAACTTATAATATGTCTTTATTTTTAGGATTATTATTACATTTCAAGAAAAGGAAAGAACAACGCAAGCGGAAAACTTTATGCCAAGTATAGAAACAAGAAGTCCAAAAGAATAAAGCTTTTGATTTCCGAGCCTAGCACAAGCAAAGCAGCAACTCACACATCTCCTAATTTTTGTAACAAAGATGTTCCCGAAATTGATGAATCAGTTGAAAATTCATTGAAAGCTTCCTTACTAAGAGAATGTAATGATTGGGGATCGATCTGCGAAAAATGGAAAAGATCTTTTAACATACGGCAAAGAGATATAAAAAATTTAAGTAGCCATACATTTCTCCTTGAATGGACGAAGTTGTCCGATGCAAGAGCTTCAGAATTGGTAAGTAGCCATGAGCTATTTATTTGTATATGGATACTAATGTTTCGTTTTAGGTCAACATTGATTTCGATATTATGTATCCACAGAAAGGCAATCTTCTACTTTCTAAATGGGACCAATTTAAGAAAAAAATTTACAATTATTATGGGAAAAATATTCATAACGAACATTGCAAACAACTCTTCGCAAATGTTTTGACGGCAAGCAGCATAGGTAAATTTTAATTCCTGATTTATCATAAACATTAAAAGTAATATTTATTTTATATTTCGGTTGCAGATGCTCAAGATTATATATACGCAATACTGTTGAATTCAGTTTTACCATCACCTGCTAGGTTTAAATGTGGAAACGGTAAATTACGAAAAAAAGTAACAATAGCTGATTCGCAGGAAAGTTTCGTACTGCGACTACCGACAATTAACGATTATAAAAGGCAAATTGATACAGTCACTGAAAAGTATTACAATGCTGGATTAACTATACAGCCATTTATAATTGTGGAGGGTTTGTCCGATTTCAATATAAAAGGTTTTTATGTTTTTTTTAACCACAATTTGTTAAAATTTCAATCGTTCCTCGAATGTTTAGATACATGTTTTAAAATTTTTCATGCACTTTCTTTAAAATATCCAAATGCCTGCCAAATTCCATGGATTTTTATCCAAAAATATTTTTATGAAATTAATACTGTATATGATATAAAATCAGTTAATTTGACTTCACTTATTAATTTCTGCAACAATAATTAAAGTACAATTCAAAATGTATATTTGCTTTCGTTGCCGTAAGCATTTTGATAAGGCAAATCTTTTAATAGCTCATTTGAAAACAGACCATTTAATGTCCACTAAATTTTTAAAAGTACAATGCGTTCAGGACAACTGTAAGCAAACATTTACAAAATTTACGTCATTCAGAATTCATTTAGAAAAACTTCACAAGAATCACACAAAAGCTCCACCAATGGTTAAAGCCATTAATGTGCCAGTTGAAATGTCATCATCAAAAGAAAATGATTATACAAACAGTGAAACTGTTATTAACAACAATACAATAGAAAAGGATTTAAATGTTTTGAAAAAGAAAACCTTATATCTGTCTTTACAATTACATGGTCAAAGCTATATGCCTAGAAATCATGTTATAGAAATACAACATTCTGTTTCAATTCTGCTTTCATCCATTTCATGTACAATTGAAAAATATATAACTGATCATCCAAATTATGAAGACTTAAGGTACTTACTAAACTTTTGTAAAAATCCTTTCGAAGAAACTAGAACGGAATATAGACTTTTAAAAATTTTAAAAGAACTAAACTTTTATGATGATCCAAAGGTTTATGTAATTAGCAATCAAGTCTCGGAAATTGTTATCAGCGGAAATCCCAGTTTAGGTCCAAAGTTATCCAATATTTATATAATGCCACTGAAATTCATGATAAGTGCCCTTTTTAAAATTCCAAATCTCTTAGATTTGACATTAGAAAACTCCAAAAAATTCCTAAATTCACCTGTTTTACAAAATTTTACAAACGGTGAGTTATATAAAACTAAATTATTAAAATATCAGTACAATTTAGTTATTCCCTATGTCCTTTACATGGATGATTTTCAAATTAATAATCCTCTTGGAACCCATACATTTTCCATATGTGGTTGTTATATTAGCTTTCCTTCAATGCCACAGCACTTGTTGTCAAAACTTGATTATATATTAACTGCTGCGTTTATACCATCAAAGGATTTAAAAGAACGTGGAAATGAAGTTTCATTTCACAATCTTGTAGAAGAGTTAAAAATTCTAGAAGAAGGGGTTGAAATTTGTGTTCAACAAAGTGTTCAGAAGGTGCATTTTATTTTAGGTGTAATTATTGGAGATAATTTAGCAGTTAATAGTATTTTAGGCTACGTGCAATCATTTAACTCTAAAAGATTTTGCCGGGTATGTAGAAGAAAAAAGTCCCAAATGCAATTCGACGCAATTCAGCATTTAGATAGTTTAAGAAACCAAGAGAATTACAACTCAAATGTATTGGAAAATAATTTTCAAGAAACAGGTATTAAAAACAAGTGTATCTTCGAATCTTTACCAAATTTTAACGTCACTGAAAATTTTTGTTTTGATATTATGCATGACATTTTCGAGGGCATATGTGTCTACGATATGTCTAATGTAATTCTCGGGCTGATTCAAGAAAATATTGTTACGTTAGATTGTATTAACAGCAGAAAATCTTTATTCCAATTTGGAGAAATTGAAGTGGGAAATAAATCTGGACCACTAGATTTATGTAGATTGAAAAACTATAACTTAAAAATGACAGCTAGTGAAACTATGTGTTTTACTAATTTTTTACCTTTAATGGTAGGCGATTTAATTCCTTTCTCCAACGATCACTGGAAAGTTTTTATAATATTATTACAAATAATCGATTTACTTTTAAGACCAAGTTATATAGAAGACGATTTAATAAAATTGGAAGAATTAATTAGAGATCACCATTCACTTTATATAACATTATACGGTTCGTTAAAACCGAAACACCACTTTCTTGTCCACTATCCCACAGCTATCCGAAAATGTGGTCCCCTTAAATATCTCTGGAGCATGAGATTCGAAGCTAAACACAAGGAAGCAAAAGCCTATTTAGGAAATACTACATCAAGAGTAAATCCCTGTCGTTCATTATCTATTAAGTCTGGATTGAAATTTTCCAATTTTTTATTAAAACACGAAGATAACTTAGAACCAAATGTTATCATTAATACGCATACCATCGAAGATTTGGCAAAAGAGGAATATTGTTACAAAAAAAGTAAGCCAGTTTTAAATTACCAAAATTGCAAAGTGTCTGATGACATTTTTTTTAAGGGAACTAGGTATAAAAAAACTATTATTTAGCAACAAATAATGCCGCAATTGAACTTTTCAAAATTAAACATTTAATAATTGAAAATGAAAATGTTTACATTTTATGTAACCAAGTAAAAGTTAAAAACTTTGATTACCATTTACAATCGTATGAAGTTGGTTCTCTGAATGAGGATACAATTTTTTTAATACCAATTTTAGATTTTATTACTTACCCATTTCACTTATATCCTATGAATAATGGAAAAGTTTATTTCAGATTTAAGTTAATTTAATTTGTTTCTATACATTGAATATATGTAATTCGAATTGTTTTGTTAAATCAAATATGTATTTATATTGAATTTATGTAATTGGTTTCGTTCAATAAAATACTTTTCAAAAAATGTCGTTTCTTCTACTAAGGGTATAAAATGGAAAAGGAACGGATATCAAAAAATGACCACCATTGATTTCAATCTGACAACGGGCGTTGACAATCCGACAACGGAGCGTTGACAATCTGACAACGAAGCGTTGACGATCTGACAACGAAGCGTTGACAATCTGACAACGGGGCGTGCTCGAAATGACCACGTATGTGCTCATTTCATGCACATCTGTTGTTGAAATCGTTGCCAAAATCTCGGTGTCAAAATGACAACAGCGTGCTCATTTTGACACCAAACGTGGTTGATACACTATCATACACGGATGTGGTCATTTCATACACGGATGTTGTCATTTTTTCTCTGGGTGTACACCACTTTGCTAATTTAGTAGAGCTCCACATAACAATTAAAAGTTTTTATGGGAGAATTCAAATATTAGACGTTTGGTGTACAATAAAAGGTAAATCGGACGAAGTTATATATGGAACTATATCCATATCTGAACCGATCTCGATAAAATTTAGCAAATGTATTTCTGAGCTGTATTTGATATATTTCCTCAAATATTGTTGTTACAGAGTGCATGTTAAAGCTGCGGAGGACAAAAATAACAAATCGGATGAACAATATATATTGGAGCTATAGATATATCTGAACCGATTTCGATCAAATTTGGCATACTTATTTTCAGACCTAATTTGATTATATGTGCAAAATTCCATACTATTCGGACTGATATTACACGTTTGGTGCACAATAAAAGGCAAAACGGACGAAGATATATATGGGAGCTATATCTACATTTTTACCGATTATCTCCAATTTCAATAGGGTTCGTCCTTGGGCCAAACAAATGTTGTTTGGAAAATTTCATCTCAATCGGATAATAAATGCGACCTGCATTTTGTTCACAAAAATACACGGACAGACGGACGGACGGACGGACTGACATGCATAAATCAACTCAGAAAGTGATTCTATGCAGATCATCAAAAGTAACTATGGGTCCATCTCGCTTCCTTCTTCATGTTACAAACAAATGCACAAAAACATAATACCCTTACCACTATGTGGTGTAGGATATATATATTGGTATGTGCAAAATTTGAAGAAAATCGAAAATTTATATCCAATTTTATGCGAAATCATAAATTCCGATAAATTACATATTTCTATCAGATTTCTGATTAAGATAAATATTAATATATATGAAGTTGTATAGAATCGCCGACTTGTTTCGCAAGTTATGACAGATATAAAAATTGGGCACTATGACCCTATGTGGGTGAGTGTTGGCAGATGTATATCAACTTCACAATTCTGATTGGAATCGGAAATATTGTGATGTGTGTAATTGGAAAAAACCGGCTGCTTATTTCGGATTTTAAGATCGTTTTGGTTATTCAAACTTTTGATCCTTTGTGGGGAAGGTACCAGAAGGAATGGTCTGATCTCTACCATCTTTATAACACATCTTGCGTCGATGGAAATATTGAGATCTACCAAGTCTGGATGGAATCGGATGTTAATTTCGTATTTATGAGCTTCATGAATGTTCAATATTTTGTTCCTTTGTGGGGGAAGACCTTGCTCTAATAAAAATATTGTAATGGGTGTAATTTGAAGATAATCGGACACTTACTTCACATTTGATAAGTGTTGAAATTATTCGAAATTTGAACCCTTTTTGGGGGAGTAATTGATGGAGTGGACCGATATTGTCCATTTTCACACCTGATTTCAAATATTAGGATTTGCAACGTTGGAGCAAAATCGGATTATCGGTTCTCTACCTGTGCAGAAAATATATTTTTTTTAAGTTTCGACATTTTGTGGGGGAGGTACCACAAGAAGTGGACCGGTATTGCTCATCTCCGAACTCGATCTAAGTTTGAAAATAATATTGCGATGTACCAAGTTTGGATCAAATCGGATACTCCCTTCGAGAGTTATCGTGCGCTCAGCCAGCCAGACAGACAGATGGACGGTTGGACGGACATCGCTAGATCGACTTCAAATGTCCTGAAACGGATTTGGTCCAAAGCGATCTTTCGAGGAGACACCTTTTGGCCGTATTAAACTATGTATACCCTCTCTAGCCATATGGCTGAGGTAATGAATATGGGAGCTATATCCAAATCTAAACCATTCTTGCAATAATTTTGCAAAGGTATTTCTGAGGGTTTGTCCTTGAGCCAAACAAATAAATTGTACATAGTATTCGGGTAATAAATGCGACCTGTACCTTGTTTACAAAAATATATGGACAGGCAGACTGAAGGACAGACGAATTCTATGGAGATCATTAAAAGGAACTAAGGATATATTTCGTTTCCTTCTACATGTTGCAGAAAATATATAATACCCTGTACCACAGTGTGGCGTAGGATATAAAAAGTTAGAACCAATCAATCGATTTTACCTACATGTACATACCCTCAGCATATGTCCGTTTATTTAAATATATTCGGATTCGCTTTATACCATAAAAACTGTAGAGTTATATTCCATATTCACATATAATCTAAAACTGATTAAAATATTGAGTACATTTGGCGAATTATAATTAATCAAAATGTTAACCCTTTGTGGGAGAGGTACCGGAAGGAGTGGACACCTGGTCTGGTGTTAGTTGAAATATTTGGATGTACCAAGTTTAAAAAAAATGGTAGCATGCTCATTTCGCTTTTCATGAGCTTCATAGTTATTCTAAATTTTTACCCCTTTGTGGAGGAGGTGTCAGAAGAAGTGGGCCGATAAATCCCATCTTCACACCTGATTATGTATCGATAGAAATATTGGGATGTGTGATATTTAAAAAAAATTGGATGCTTATTTTGCGAATTATAAAAGATACAGTTATTGAAAATTTTGAGCTTTTGTGGGGGAGTTACCAGAAGGAGTAATATAGGTTATATAGCCCATCTGCGAACTCAATCCAAGTTTAACATAAATATTACGATGTACCCAATCGGATGCTCTCTTCGAGAATTATCGTGCACACCAGCTAGACAGACAGACGGACGGACGGACGGACACCATAGATCTCCTCCAAATGTCCTGAAACGGATTTGGTGTAAAGATACCTAGGGTCTAAAACCGTTATTTCGACTAGGCACGTTTTGACCGGATCAAATGGTATATATCCTCTGTAGCCATATGA